GTGTGCGTGTGTGCGCGTGCGTATGTGTGTGCGCGTGTGTGCGTGTGCGTGCGTGCGTATGCGTGTGTGCGTGCGTGCGCGTGTGTGCGTATACGTGTGTGCGCGTGCGCGTGTGCGTGCGCGTGTGCGTGCGTGCGTGTGTGCGTGCGTGTGTGCGTGCCTGTGTGCGTGCGCGTGTGTGCGTGTGCGTGTGTGCGCGTGCGCGTGTGCGCGTGCGTGTGCGTGTGCGTGTGTGCGTGTGCGTGTGTGCGTGCGTGCGTGTGTGCGTGCGTGCGTGTGTGCGTGCGTGGTGCGTGCGTGCGTGTGTGCGTGCGTGTGTGTGCGTGCGTGTGCGTGCGCGTGTGCGTGCGTGTGCGTGCGTGCGTGCGCGTGCGTGCGTGTTCGTGCGTGCGTGTGCGTGCGTGTGTGTGCGTGCGTGTGCGTGCGTGCGTGTGCGTGCGTGTGTGTGCGTGCGTGTGTGTGTGTGTGTGTTGTGTGCGTGCGCGGGGCGTGCGTGCGTGGGCGTGCGTGCGTGGTGCGTGCGTGGGCGTGGCGCGGCGTGCGTGCGTGCGTGCGTGGGTGGTGCGTGCGTGGGCGTGCGTGCGTGGGCGTGCGTGCGTGGGCGCGCGTGCGTGGGCGTGCGTACGTGCGTGTGCGTACGTGCGTGTGCGTGCGTGCGTGTGCGTGCGTGCGTGCGCGTGCGCGCGTGCGTGCGCGTGCGTGTGTGCGTGCATGCGTGCGCGCGTGCGTGCGAGAGGGTGTGCGTGTGCGTGCGTGTGCGTGCGTGCGTGTGCGTGCGTGTGCGTGCGTGTGCGCGCTTGTGCATGCGTGTGCGTGCGTGTGCGAGCGTGTGCGTGTGTGTGCGTGTGCGTGCGTGTGCGTGCGTGTGCGTGCGCGCGTGTGCGCGTGCGCGCGTGTGAGCGCGTGCGCGTGTGCGCGTGTGCGCGTGTGCGCGTGCGCGCGTGTCCGCGTGCGCACGTGTGCGCGTGTGTGCGTGTGCGCGTGTGTGCGTGTGTGCGTGTGTGCGTGTGTGCGCGTGTGCGTGTGTGCGTTTTTTTGATCGTGCAGGCGTGCACAGCCAAGCTGTACATATGACAGCCACCAGGGCCGCCCCAACCGAGCCCCTCGGCCCGATCAACCATGCAAGGCTGCGGCAGGACCCCGCAGTCCACGCCGCAGCAAAGGCGCGGCGGAGCTCAACCCTTCGGGCGAGCGTCGCGCGAAGCGCTCAAACACAGCCCCAAGTTGAGACCACGCGAAGCGTGTGCTATGGCACGAGAAGAATGACCATCACTCAACTTAGGAGGACCATCGCCGACGTGCAACACACGGTCGTGACACGCGAAGCGCGCACATGCAAATAATGGCGCAGGCCCAGCGCGACAACTCGCACAGGTGGCCGCCACGCGAGAGGCCCACACCCAAAAGAGAAGAAACACTCTCCCTCCAGTTCACGCGAAGCGTGCTGTATCCGCAAGCAAAGACAGCCAGCGCAAGGGCTTCTGCCGCGGGATCCTTGCAGCGAGCCTTCAGAGGCCCCCCAGGGCACCACCAAAACAAACAACGCGGCGAGCACAAACAAAGCACGCTGCAACTTTCACTCACTCAGGCAGACGCTGCCTCGTCCTAGGGCCCAAGCCCTGAATAATCAAATCTCGACGCTGCCGTCGTGCACATCCGGCGTTGTCGCCTTTCGTGGGATGTCCTGTGCAATCCTTCCCAAGCCGGCGAAGCAGCCCGTCACGTTCACGAACAAAATAGCAACATTTCGTGCACACTCGGAAACCACAAACAATGCGAATATCATGGCCCAGAGCACCCGTGGGCAAGGAAGACGTCGCTGCCGACGCACCCGCACTTGCACACGAAGAGGGTGGCTCAGGCTGGTGCTGATCTCCATCCCCGTCCTCTCGGCCATCTGCGCTGCACTCAGACGCTGCCATGGCAGCAACCGTTGCTGCTGCCACGAGCCCTGCAGCTGCTGCAGGACGCTTGGCCCCTGAGCAAGGGCCTCCCACGGCCAGTTGGTGGGGACCTGGCCTCGGGATGCAGGGCAGGTAGGTGAGCTTGCGCTGAGACTCCTTCGTTCTCGCGTAGCGCCCACACGTAGAGCGCCGCCAGCAGCCAGCCTCCTCCACGAACTCGTGCGCGGCGAGGGTCAGCTGAATCTTCGGCGGCTGCTTGATAACCACCTCCGCATCAATGTCGTCACGGGCTGCTGCGGCAGGAGCGCCAGCGCAGGATACCCACGCAACCACCCCGTCAACCATCAGGTCGGTGCGCCAAAGCTTGTCCCTGTCAGCTGTCCCCGATGCGAAAGGGCGAGCGACCTGCTGGCCCAACCGTCTGCCTCGAGGTTGCCACGGCGCTCCCAGCGTGTCAGCCTGCCCGCTTCGACGTCTCCGATGGCCCCGTGCCCCTTGACTTTGATCACAGTCAGCCCCTCTGGGCACAGTCCACCAAAGTCATGGCATCCCAGACCAATCTCCAAAGGAACGCCCAACTGTGTGACGAACCACATGTGCCTTCTCGACCACGAATCAGGAGCCCATCGACAACGTAGCTGGCGTCCACTCTCACGGTGATCGGCGCCAGACTGTGACGCACCAGAATCAGAATGGCCAGCAGATCCGCGCCATCAATGGACTGGTGCAACCCCATCAGCGGGGACCCCAGCGCCCTCAGCGCACACTTCGGGCTTGGATCAAACCAACCAGGCCCGAGGGGAAACTGCACCACTGCACAGCCTGCCATGCCGAAGTCGGCGTCGAGGTCGAATGCCGAGCCGTCCGTGAAGTGCTCGACGCTATGAAAGGGCACTTCTCCATTGCCGAGAAGCCATCGCACAGCTGACATCAATTCATTTTGAGGCGCTTGCCATGGCACCTTGGGCCTGACCACCAGCAACCTCTCGACGAGCGTGATGATGTTGGGGTGGTCGGCCTGCCGCTTTAGCACCTCGGTGGCTGCTGGCAGCTGTGGTTGTGGCCAGTGGCGAGCGCACTCGATATGCCGATGCCACAAGCTGCCGACCTCAAGACAAAGTGCACAGTCTTCAGAGTGAGCATACCGTGGATTGTTATGATATCGTCGGTGATTGACCCACTGGCCGTTCACCGCAAGCGACCTGGCGCACCGTCGCTCCTCAGCACCGAGCGTAAGCCATTCGCGCCCTTGGGGCGCCGTCGGTCGCTGACGGCGAATCCATCTGCGAAGCTGTGCTATGTTGAACACATGGTCTAAGTGCGGCATCTCGTCCGCGACCTTCTGGAACTGCCGCCGCAACGCAGCTTTCCTCACCACCTGCTTGGTATACCATGGCGAGAAATCCACTGGCTTGTAAACTGCCCCATTCGCCGAGTTCGTCCACGTCGCGATGCTGGCCGTGGCCCGCCCGACGCGCAAGCGGGACAGGAAGGCGGCGCTGATGGGCTCTCGAACTTGAGCCCAGGTCGTGACGTGCGCCGAGGTCCAGCGCATCACCGAGGTCAGGATGGACACCGGCAGCCACGAGTCCCATACAGCACGGTGCATCATACAAACGGGATCGATTGTGGCTCGAAAGATGGGGTCAAGCTCGCGCACAGGCGACAGCATGAGGCTGAGCGCACGACTCCCCCCGTCAACTCGAGCCTCGGTGGCCCGAAAGGCCAAAGAGCGAGCAGTCTGAAGATCGCTGTCGCTGAGCCCCGTGCAGTTCACGCTGCGCGCGCATCCTGCCTGGAGGCGCTGCTTGGCAAGACGGGCAGCAATTCCTCGCCGACCTCCAGAGCCCAGAAGCCGTCGCACACGCGGAACCCGTCGCCCAGCAGCTCGGGGCCTCGCTCGACGAACTGCTCGCCCCAGGACTCGGCCTTGAGCAAAGTCCGTGCCGAGATTCCTGGCGTGAACCGCTGCCTGAGCTCCAGTGGCCCTGTGGAGCTTGACCTTCAGCTCCTTCTCCAGTGCTGGAGTAGAGGCCAACGCCTGAGACTTCTTGACAGAGATGCTGATGCTGTCCCTGGCCGATCCGTTGACGAGCACCTGCGCGGCGAGGGTGATGTCTCTGCCAACTCTCTTCTCGCCTCCATGTCTCTGCAAGACCAGATCTCCCACAACAATAGCAGGAGCAACCGTGGGGCACATCAGCTGCATGCGATCGACCGATTTCATGAGCTGCAGCTTCATAGATGTCGCGGCGAACGAGTCGCCAGCCAGGACCGTCTGGTGCGCCCAAAACAAATCTGAGACTGCACCATCGAGAACCAAGGCACGCGCTTTGGAATCTATGCCCAACTGCAGCTTGAGCAGCCAGAGTGGGAACGAGAACTTCTGAGCCAGGCGAAGAAGTTTGTCGTCGTGGGGAATCTGCTCAAAGGCCTTCCACAAGTCCAGAAGTAGCGCAGCTGTAGCCCAATCTGCGCTGGGGTCCTCGTCGCTCTTCATGGCGACCCATTCGCTCTATGCGAGTTGTTGCCAGACTGCACTGTCGCAGCCCTTGCCCGCTGAAGCCCACCAATAAGCTCGATCATGCTGCGCCCCCCCCACCCCCCCACCCACCCCACCCCCCCCCGCGCCGAGGCGAGAGGCCTTCGCAAACGACCGTGCACTCGCGCAAGAGCAGCTAGCGAGGCAATCGGCCGAAGTCCTCCTTCACGCTTAGGTATGAACGCAAGTTTGTTCGCAAAGTCTGGCCAGGCCGCGCGCCCCCCGATCAGTGCAATCAGACCCGCCAGCGCTTCCACTCCAGCGTCATCCAGCACGCCGAAGTCCCGAGGGATGAAGTTGTCGAAACTCTCCCCCCCCCCCGCCAACCTTGAACGTAGAAGATGCCCGACGTCGCTGGTCGGCCGTCGGCCGCCCAGGCCGCTCGCCAAGGTCTCGAGGCCATCGGGGGACAGGAGGTGGAGCCGGCGTTCGCCAATACGCCGCCCACTCAGCCACTAGCGCTTTGACGGCGCCCATCCTTCCAAGCGGAACCTCGACCTCTCGGATCGCTGAGGCATTGACGGCAGGCTCCTTCGTGAATGCACGTAGCGCTGCACCTCCGACGGCTGCCTGGGCATCGATCCAGTCACCAAATCTCGCCTTGGACTCCTTCACGTCTCGCGCGGCGGCGTCGTCGGCAAGCTGCTCGGTGACCGCTGCCAGGCGCAGATCTCCAACAGGGCACATGTAGCCGCGCGCTCGGCACAGCAGCGCCACGACCTTGCACCACAAATCACCAGGGGAAGCTCGCTGGCGTCGGCCCAACGCTCGATGCCCACGAGCCTGTCTGATAGGATCGCCACTCACAGCGTCGGCGGCCGCAAGGGCCATCCCCTTCAGCCACGTCGAAGTCGCACTTGCCTTCGGGATGCGGGGGGCTGGCGGTGGGCACGCCTTGGCCCAGCTGGGCTCTGGCCCCATCCGCGCGTCTACCGTGCTTGCCGATGTCGAGCCCTTCCAGGTCGCACAGGTCGCGCTCGGTGACGCCGATGAACTGCCTCCAAGCCTCGCTGACGTCGTCAGCTGGGCCCTGAAGTGCTCGCCACTCACCCGCGAAGCCCCGCGTGCTGCAACCTGCAGGGAAAGGGCTGGGAAAGGCCTTGGCCGCGCGCATGATCGCGCCGGCAACGACGAGCTCGACAGGCCCATGCGGCCCGAACTCCCAATCCAACAACACCTCGGCATGCGCAGCGCGAAACTGCCTGGAAATTACGAAGTAGTCAATCACGCTCTCAGACGGCCTGCACGCGCCTGCGGTGGGCGCAACCACGCGACCCCCACAACGTCCCAGGAAGGACGACCGCACCGGCACCTCGGGCTCCATGTTGAAGTCCCCGCAGATGATGAACGGGCGGCCGACAGCCTGGAGGAGCGCGCCCACCTTGCATAAGATAGACTCATTGGCGCAGGGCAGGCCCCCCCCCGCGCGCAGGTGCAGGTTGACCCGCGTCGCGCCACCAGGGCAGAAACCTAAGTGATGCACAGACGTCGCGCGCCCGACGCCCACCACAGCGCTGCCAACGCCCTCGAAGAGCCCCATGCCGTGGACACGAGGCGCTAGTAGCAGCAGTCCTCCGTGGCCTGGAAGCCCTGGTCCCGCACCCTCAGCGGGGGCTGCATGGGCGTGCCACCCAAACCTGGGTAGTGTCGCTGTCACCTCACTGCTGCGCTCAACAGAAAGATGCGTCTCTTGAGCTGCGACAAAATCTGGCCGCCGCACGGCGTCGCGATCAAGAAGGGTCTCGAACGTAGAGTAAGCATTAGTGTTCATAGTCAGGCCACGCCATGAACGCTGCTGTCGGGTGGGGCTAGGAGCTGGTACTCCGCCGCTTGGACTCCGCGCGCAACGACTCCAGGGCGTCCAACAATCGTTTGCGCTCATCAGCTGCGGCGGCGCCTGCCAGCAGGCCACCTGGATCCTCTCCAGCAAGACGGGCGTCGAAATCACCCCCGTCCATGGGCGCATCCTGGTTGGCGCCGCCCGCTGAGGGATCGCGCGCTCCACCGCCGCTGCCTCCTGCACCTGTGTCCGCTGGGGCTGCAGCTGGAGGCTGTTCGACCTGGGCCTGCTTGGCCACGAAATCTGCGACTGCCTTGGTGACCAGCGCAAAGACAGACTCCACTGACGCGCCCTGGCAGGCCCCTGCTTACATATCCTTGAGCTGCTCGAGCAAGGGCCCCAGGTCGATCTTGGGCGGAGCCGTGGATGCCCCCAAGGCCTTGGCGGCTTCCTCCTTCGCCATGGCCAGCTCGCGCTCCAAGGTGTTGACGGCCCCCTGCTGCTCCTGCAGGGCGACCATCGCCTTGGCAGCCGCGTCCTTCGCCTTCTGCAGTCGCTGCTGCCCAGAGAGCAGAGCCTTTGCAGCCTTCTCGACATTAGTGGATCGGGCAATGCCTGGAGACCATCCTGCAGCCGCCGCCGCCCTCGCGTACTGAACACGGTCACGGCTAGACAGAGACAGATTAGACTTGACCAGATCCCATGCATCCTGCTTAAGCCCCACATACGGCATGATGCCGGCATCGTCCAAGGAAGCACCAACAGCACCGCGCCGACGAGGAGTCTTGGGCCGAAGCTGCGGAGCGCCCTGAGCCCACTTCCCTCCTGCCTGGTGCCACAGGCGAGGCGCGGGTCCAGGGCCTGGCCGAACTCCACTGCACCCCGCCTGGGAACACTCGAACTAGCCGATCGGGTTGAAATGCGGGCAGCATGGACATTTCCAGTGCGTACCGACATTCGCCATCACTGTGCCCACACGGGCAAGAGAGACAACCGCAGCACGAGCCACCTTGACTCGGCAGAGCAATTAAGCGTGTGTGCGTGTGTGCGTGTGTGCGTGTGTGCGTGCGTGCGTGTGTGCGTGTGTGCGTGTGTGCGTGTGTGCTTGCGTGTGTGCGTGTGTGCGTGTGTGCGTGTGTGCGTGTGTGCGTGTGCGCGTGTGCGCGTGTGCGCGTGTGCAGGTGCGCGCGTGTGTGCGTGTGCGCGTGTGCGCGTGTGCGCGTGTGCGCGTGTGCGCGTGTGCGCGTGTGCGCGTGTGCGCGTGTGCGCGTGTGCGCGTGTGAGCGTGTGCGCGTGTGCGTGTGCGTGTGCGTGTGCGTGTGCGTCTGGGTGTGGGCGTGTGTGTGTGTGTGTGTGTGTGTGCGTGTGCGTGTGTGCGTGTGTGCGTGTGTGTGTGTGTTGTGTGTTGTGTGTGTTGTGTGTGTTGTGTGTGTTGTGTGTGTTGTGTGTGTTGTGTGTGTGTGTTGTGTGCGTGTGTGTTGTGTGTTGTGTGTTGTGTGTGGTGTGTGTGTGTTGTGTGTTGTGTGGGTTGTGTGTTGTGTGTGTTGTGTCTATGTTGTGTGTGTTGTGTGTGTTGTGTGTTGTGTGTGTTCTGTGTACTGTGTGTGTTGTGTGTGTTAGTGTGTGTGTGTGTTGTGTGTGTTGCGTGTGTTGTGTGTATGTTATGTGTGCTGTATGTGTTGTGTGTGTTGTGTGTGTGTTGTGTGTTGTGTGCGTTGTGTGTGTTGTGTGTGTTGTGTGTGTGTTGTGCGTTGTGTGTTGTGTGTATTGTGTGTGTTGTGTGTGTTGTGTGTTGTGTGTTGTGTGTGTTGTGTGTATGCTGTGTACTGTGTGTTTCTTGTGTGTGCTGTCTGTGTGTGTTGTGTGTGTTGTGTGTGTTGTGTGTGGTGTGTGTTGTGTGTGTTGTGTGTTGTGTGTGTTGTGTGTTGTGTGTGTTGTGTGTGTTGTGTGTGTGTGTTGTGTGTTGTGTGTGGTGTGTGTGTGTGTTGTGTGTTGTGTGTGTTATGTGTTGTGTGTGTTGTGTGTGTTGTGTGTGATGTGCGTGTTCTGTGTGTTCTGTGTATTGTGTGTGTGTTGTGTGTGTGTTCTGTGTGTTGTGTGTGTGGTGTGTGTTGTGTGTGTTGTGTGTGTTGTGTGCGTGGTGTGTGTTGTGTGTGATGGGTGTGTTCTGTGTGCTGTGTGTGTTGTGTGCGTGTTGTGTGTTGTGTGCTGTGTGTGTGTTGTGTGTGTGTGTTGTGTGTTGTGTGTTGTTTGTGTGTTGTGTGTGTTGTGTGTTGTGTGTGTGTTGTGTGTGTTGTGTGTGTTGTGTGGTGTGTGTGGTGTGTGTGGTGAGTGTGTTGTGTGTGCTCTGTGTGTTCTGTGTGTTGTGTGTGCTGTGTGTGTGTTTTGTGTGCTGTGTGTGGTGTGTTGTGTGTGTTGTGTGTGATGTGTGTGTGTTGTGTGTGTTGTGTGTGGTGTGTGTGTGTGCTGTGTG